TTTTTGCGAGCCTGGCAGCTGTGGCTGCAACTCTACCCTCCCAACTATCCGCGCAGTTCAAATTGAATGAACTTCAAATCGGCCTTTGCTGTATTCCTATGGGAGTCGGAAGCTGCGGCGCTGCGGCGGTTATGGGAAAGCTGGTCAACTTTAACTACCATCGGCATGCGCGCCTGACAGGAATCGTGACGGACAGCCATAACGACACTGAACTACATGGGTTTCCAATTGAAGCTGCAAGATTGCTAGTCGCATTGCCTGTTCTATATCTTAATTGTACTTTGCTAGTTTGTTATGGATGGATCTTGCAGAAAGCACACAGCCTGGGAGCGACTTTGACGTTCCTCTTCTTTCTGGGCTTCTCGGCGACAGCGACATTTAGTGTGCTCAGTACTCTTCTCATTGATCTTTTGTCTGACAAGCCCGGAGCAGCAGGCGCAGCAAACAACCTTGCGAGATGCTTACTTGGGGCTGGAAGTGCTGCTTTTATTCTACCCCTAATACAGAGGATTGGAGTTGGGTGGGCTTATACGGTGATAGCTGGCCTCCTAACTATATTGAGCCCCATTGTGTGGGTGATATTAATCTATGGGCAGCAGTGGAGGAGGGCAAGCCAGAATAGTTGAAGTTGGAATCTATCAGGGAAAATGCAGTTATTGGTTACACCACAAAAACTGGTTCTAGACTTTGATTTTTTTATATAATATAAATCTAGTCTTCAGGATCCCAGTACTAGTTTTTGAAGATCTTTATCTATTTTATTCAATCTTATATCAGCCTTCAAAATTAGTTAGATGGTAATCCAATAATCTTATTTAAATATAATGCTATCCAAGCTACTCTAGTAGGGAAATCTTCACAACAGGACAACAGTTAAATGATGCCTGATAGGTTCAAAACTAGTATTATTCAATAATATTTTGTATATAGAATATAGTAATTATAAGGGTGAATACAATGAGATAATGGGAAGAGTATTCCTTTTATAAATATTAGTGTTGGACTCAGGTCGGGTTGTTGGGTCGGGTCAGGTTCTTGGGTAGGTGTTCAAAAAATTTTTGACCTGATCTACGGGCTGGGTTTTAATTAGCTAATCTTATCTATTAAGAACTTAAATCAGATTTTATAGAACAGGTTAAGATTTTTTAATCTGATTAATTAAGATTTGGAGCAGGTTCATTAGATTAAAATCCTAATTTAACCTGATAATCTGATCTGACCTGTTCTCAGAAGTATGTGTAAGCTAGCAAAGAGGTGTAACGAAACCAATAGCTAGCATTTCTGAGACTCTGCAGATCAGTAGAGTGAGGGTTTCTGGAAATGCGCACATATTGTGGTGTCTATTGTAACAGCAGATATAGAATAGTTGGTAACGTGGCAAGCAAGCCATTTGCAGCAGGAAAACTCAAGGTATTGAACGCCTCACCCTTGGACTGCTTTATTGCATGATAATCATCGAGTGGATGCAATTGTAAACATCGTGACGGGCTCCATTCTCCATTTCCTGGCCTAGTGCGCAACTGCTAATGAGCGAGCCTGGTATATTCCCCTATTGCTGGCCGTTCCATGTTTCAGTTGGTAATCCCTGTTGAAGCGGCAGTTACATGTACCCCATTGGTAAGCTGATACTAAAGTAGACACCCAGAAAAACATTGAAGATAACTATTTACAATTCTTTATGAACGGCACGGCTTTGTTTGACCTAATGACATTGGATATCATGACCAGTACTGTAGACCAAAGAGAAATCTCTTTTTCTGCCTACCGGTCTAGCTTGGTTTCAAGGCCACCATTGACGCAATTCTTCTGGCCCCCAGTGTCACTTGCTCCGGATTGATGGGCGAGTTCTCAACGTTAATCGACCATTTATGACTGTTACTAATTGTATCGAGCCGTCAGTCCGAGACAATTTGTTTGGTTGCACCACGGGAACTAAACCGCCATTTTCACTGACGTACAACGCTGCTCGTGTTCTTCTACTCTGTTTCTACCTCAGGAATGCCCAATCGCCCTCTGAGATATTCCTCGTAGAATGTCGGTATCTTGGCTTAAGAAAGGTTTGTGATCGGCTTGGTAAGCTCCCATAAACCTCGAGCTGCGGCTACATGCGGTGACAGATGAAGATGTTCCCAAAACGTCCGGCGCCCCTTCTTCCTTTCTGCAGTAGACTCCTTTCCTCCACCTTCCAAACTACATCTGCGAACAATCTCCGCCTTGGATCTTGTCACCTTCTTATAAATGGCCGCCATCTCACAGCAGCGTAAGCTCGCCGGACCGGACGCGGAAGATGCCGCCATTACCTGCCTGGACACCTTTATTCTTGCATAAGCTTGAACAGTATATGCGGCAGCGTCAGCCATTGTAGTCCAGTAAATCTATGTACCATCTATACCACCTCAAATCTAACATCGAATCTGTCTGTTCTTGTCGAGACGCATAGTCCATTCCGCGAGCGTGCCATTGATGTAATGCACAGGTCTTATCGTGCTGGTCATCGCCGTCTGGTCCACAAACGCAAGATTGGGGTCGTAAAGCTGAAAGTCGCCGTAAGAGATAATTGTCCAGTCCTGAGTCCAAGACGCAGCAAGAAAAACCTTGACCTTTGCAGCCTCGGCTGTGCAAAATTGAACGGAGACCACCCTCGAGGTAGAGCTCAGGATCGGTTGTGTAAGCGCATGCAATCGCATCGCACCCTTACGACCGCGGTACGTAGTGCAGAGGTGTCATTATATGATGTGCTTTGAGAAATGTTTCAAGCGCCTCCGAATTCGGGGTATCAGCTTTTTAATCCTCGGAAAGACATTCCACGAGCCAACGCCTCGCTGGGGAGGCGTTGACCGAATTCGCCTGTGGCCCTGGCTATGAGACGGAGCATCTTGTAGTATAGTCCGACATATTTGACTGCTAAAGATCAGGTGACACTGCAGCATGCAGAGGAGATCTTAGAGCATGTGAAATAGTTAAAGTAAGAGGAAGGATAACATGGGTGACAATCAGTGTGAGTGAGAAAATTGGAGACGGAACGGCTTCGTATAGCAAATCACTGGTAAACTCGTCTTCGTGACTGGACATAGGCTTGACCGATATTGGCTAAGGATGTAGATTGGTGGGTGCTTTGAGGAACCATGTAACGAACTCGGAAAGCTAGCCTAAATTGACAACAAAGTGACGAGTGCCCAGGACCAACAAAGTGGAGGCACCTTCATGCTCCCCAGTATCAAAAACGATATTTTAATAATGAGGTCTTATAAATAGCTGGCTAAACCGACATCAATCCCCATTCAACACTTCATGTTATCAGGTTCAGAAGTCTCAATTCAGACTACACTTGAGGTACTTTAAAGATGACTACGACTACCGGAAGCTGCCTATGCAACGCATGTACCTATTCCTACACTGGCGAGCCGACGCTTAAAGTGCGTTCGTCTTCTCCATCTAGAGTCGCTAGCTAATTCTTTAGGCTATATGTCACTGCGCCTCTTGTCACAAAATATCCGGCAGTAGTAACACACTCAACTATACTGTGCCGGAAAAGGCATTCAGCGTTACGAAAGGAAGTCCAAAATCCTTCTCTACGACCCACGAGTCTGGGATGACACTTACAGTATTCTTCTGTCCCAATTGCGGAAGCACGCTGTGGAAGGAGGCTACGGCCGAAAATTTCAAGGGGCTGAAAGTGGTGCAGGCGGGCACGTTGGCCGACGCATCGAAATTGAATGAGGGGGTCAATGTAGAATTTTATACTTCAACGAGGGCGCCGTGGCTTATGCCGCAGAAAGACGTTGCGCAGCGGACTGAATTCTAGGCCAGCGGAGTCTAGCTATGGAGGTCAGTCGCTTGAACGTGATTTTGCCAGCCATTGGAGGCAATGTAGCAAGATTCACATTCATGCTTTCTGGATTGCTTTAGCTGCCAGGTTCCTTCAAAAGTGAGTTAGCTATCGAGGTGGAAGCGATTAGGGGAGACCTTTCCAGTCCGTTCATGTTGATATATTTGAAACAGTCCCAAAACACTTTCACAATGCATATCTTTAGTTGATTTCTCGATTATAATATGAGGTTGCGATATGTATCAGGTCTTTCTGAACAATCTACTTGGTGAACCATAATCCCAGCCTGTGTATTTTATGTGTCGCAAGCACTATATCCCCGTACCACCTCAAGATGAACACAAGCTGCATACATGCACCCAAGTTGAGTTTGATTGGAAGATTAGGCTGGAAATTCCCCTGTGTGAACTTTAACAGAAGAGAGTACCTGAATTTTGACTCCTCCGCAGCTTCAGGTTCTTCCACGAACCGAAATTTGAGATGGATCACTAGGATTCGAATAGTTTGAAACATCACTGCTGGAATGGTGGAGCAAAGATCGCCTTCACCGAGCCCAAATTTCTCCAGCCAGTCATTCGACTTGTATCAACGCGCGACGATATGAAGCGATGGTATGGATCGAATACGAACATTGAAGTTCGTGAAGATATAGATTTTCGCAAAGGTCAACGTCATCCGCGAGACTTTCTAGCCGGAGGTTTGAGGAAGGAATACAATAATTCTACATTTTCGCAGTTCCCAGTCTTGTGTGATTGAAGTACCTTGGCCACCTAATGCATCGGATCGAGAAGATTGTCTAGTGCTGTCTTTTTATCAGGAGCAAAGGTACGTTACACCACTCTGTTGAGAGTAAGATACAGGCGTTCTTGAATCGTGACGGACACCTGCGCCTGGAATTGTATCTCAATCCACGTCCCAGGCCAGTAGCCGACGGCGAGAGCGCACGAGCAACAACCATACTGAAAGGAATAAAAAGTGGGCAGCGCCGGCCTGGCAGTGCTGTGGCGTCTCGAAATTAGACGTTGGGCGATTCCTCAGGAAAGCGCAACCCAGCTGCTGTCTATGGCAGCCGTACAGATAAGCTCATAATACAGTAGCATATTACGGGGCACTTTGTCCTCGAAGTGCATGTGGAAAGCTTCGACCAGCCTCCTGACATAGGGTCTCCTTTATGGACCCATCCGCGCTGAGGTTATGGGCCTGGAAGATCGACAACCTAAGCATTCGAACCGGGCCTGAATCCAAAAAGCTTCTTGTCATATTTGAGAAAGTTAGTATGACGTCGTAACAATGTGTGAGGGGATCAGCCAATCCATTTCCTACACGTCCCAATAGTATCGAGGGGTTATGCCAGGGTTGGTCAGCTTCGCAAGCTCGTACTTAGCAACGAGTCAGCGAAAGCGTTGGCAGGTGTTGTCAGCCTTTGACTACACTATGCGCGAGGGCGTCGAGGCCGTCGTCTTCGTTGGCGGCGTCTCGCTCGGCTACCCGGCCACTGCATTCCCCCTGCCCGTCTTCACGGGAATGCTGACGGGGGTGACGGGTAGCTATCCGATCTACTATGATGGCAATACCATGTCCATCCAGCTCTTCCTCATCGCGTCCACCTGCATGCTGTATCTGATCGCGGCAGGCATGTTGTCCAAAAGGATCTGGGATCTGCAGTACTACCAGTTCTAGATGGCGGTTAGCTCTGACATAACAGAGGAGGACGGTAGACCAGGCTTCTACAATATCCGCGAGACTTTACGTTAACTGCTGCAATACCAAGACTGACAACAGCTGGGATGTATTTAACATGATCCTTGATTGGGAATATACCAGCACATATAACTCTATCATCTCATATAATATTTATCGGATCCAATTATGCTGGCGAAAATCCCAGGAATCAAGTAATATGGAAAGCCGGAGCTAGACGTCATGCAGGAGAACTCGGAGGAGATTGTGCGCGCGGCCCAAAACAGGCTGTTTAACAAGAGACAGGTCGAGAAGCAGACAGTGTAAGTAGAGTTGAAGTGAATATAAGGAGTAACAATTGGAAATAGGCCCATTCCATGGATAGGCCAGGTAGATCATTATTACTCCAAGTATTCTTGACTAGGGTAGACATTGAAATTTTATTTTCAGAAGCCATTACTGTAATACTTGTATTTTACTCCAGCAACTGCTACAAATCTCTTACATTAGTAATAAAAAGAGGCTAGTCCTGACTTACCATCATTCAATATAGAGTAGATACTAGCCTAACAGAGCTGGTGAATTTATAAAGAAACTAGTATATATAATAACTTAAACAATACTAACCCATTATATGAAATTTAATAAGCAAGTTATGTATTACATGAAATTAAAATTACACTCCACCAACCTTACTCTTGGCTCAGAATCAAGCCTCCACAAAGGCCCACTTTGTCTGTCCAGGCACTCTTGTATCGTGAAGAAATTTAGTCATCAGTTTCTACTGGCTCCGGACCCTGAATGATTTCGGACACCGGTCGGGCTTTACACGCGTAATACCGTTTATCTCGGGCGTTACAGCGGATTTCGTTACCTGATAAGCGATCCTTAATCTGATCTTCGGCGATAGATTCCTAGCGCAGTCGGACTTCGGCCGTCGGAAGTTCGGGGCCCATTATTAGGGAAAAGCTTCACTGATTGATATGATTGATTTCTGGTATCAATCTAATCTGACTATCTGATTTAGGCAGCACCTCCGTGCTCCCTCCTGGGACAGAGTCGGAGGGGCACACGACACTGGCATACGCATGGCACAGCGTGCTGCCATGGCCTTGCTGTCTTGCTCTCGCCGGGAATCGGGAGTGGATGGCCAAGGATCTTGACCCAAGCACAGAAACGGGGCTATTAAGACAGCTTTACCGGGTTACGTCTGTCTCTGTTTCATTGCATACTGCGGACCAACTTGGATCCCACTGTAGCATCATACTTTTCTTGCTCCTCATCGGCGTAGAATGATTATAATGCTATGTCATGTTCATAGCTTCGTCCGTAGTCGATCCCGTCCCCCTGTAACACATACTTCTCAGTCTGCAACAAATCTTGTGGCCCAGGAACACAGGTACTCCACGATCAAGCAATATCTGAAGGAAGGAATACGATATCCACTCGGCCAGCACAATTACCCACCTTCCTGCAAGGGCTCGGTAAATCTCCCTCTTTCGCCCCGAGAGCAGCACAGAATTTTACACAATGACATCTGGGCCCACAACATCTGATACGCATGCTGGTGCCAACAGAAATGATGGCCAAGCTATTTTCAACCTGCTACTTAAGAAATAATAGTATGTTCCCTCCCGCTCTAGCATCTCCCATCAGCGACTGTGGACGTGTAGAAGACAAAGACTTGCGCGATGAAACCTTCCTGGGCAATCTTGGCCCTCGCCTTTGGCTCGCAGGTTGTGGCCAAAAGCTTTTCACCGACCGATGCTGCTGAATATTGCATGTATGCTATCTACGAGTCCTTATCTGAACTTAGCTGGCAGGAAACTGCGGATGATACCAGCTCAGAAGGCTCGAACTCAGCCTCTCCGTGTTCCAACGAAATCGAGGTTACCTCTATCTATGCCTCTGTTGTGGAATACTGCCATGGAGCATCATACAGCCAAGGCCTTGTCTATTGGGATAAGCTTTGTGCTAATCTTGGCACTTCGCTGACGGTCTTGGATGACCTCGAAGCCAGCGTTACTACAGCCTACATTGAACAATTGCCCGTTATCAGCCCAGACACCGCGGGAAATACTAAGATTTCGACTCCGGTGCTGCTTGAGAAGTCGTACTATTCGCGCGCTGTGCGCAGTGTGGTAAGTGTCGAGCCCCATCATATCTTCTGAACGTCAATCTCACCGCATAGACTGCCAACGAGACTAGAGATAGCAGCTCAATCAACATTGCTTGGGGCATTCATGGCTTCTGGGGCTTTATCGTCCTTACGGGGGTTCTTCATAACGTCCTTCCTACCCTCTCCCGTCGTTTTGCCGGTGTCCAGGCCGGAGACATCGAGAAGCCTCAATCACGCCGCTGGCGAGAAATCATCCCAGCGCCCGTTCGATGGGCTCATGACACTGTCTATACGTATCTGATACTCTCTCCCTCTCTGGGATACAACCACCGACGCCTTCTGGGCTTTAACGTACCCTTACGGGCCCAGGGTCTGACCATCTTCTTCTTCTGGTCGCTGGCCGTTATTTTGGCTTGCATACACAGTGGTGTACATCGAGACGATCCTTTGTAAGTCTCATACCTTCATGGAGTCTTTTGAAAGGAGTAATTTAACACTGTCAGCAACGGAACCTTCGCGTACCAGATCTGGGTGTTCATAGGGCCCAGACTCGGTTTTCTCGCCTTCGCATGTCTCCCCTGGCTGTGGCTCTTTGCCGGACGAAACAACATTTTCATCTGGGGAACCGGCTGGGACTATCAGACCTTCAACCTCTTCCACAGGCATCTAGCAAGAGTCACTGTGATTTATGCCATCCTGCACTCTATCTCGTACACCGTCAAATATCTGGCCTACTGTATGTACTTTACACAAGCCCGATGGCCATGCCATGCCATGTTGACTAACAACCCCAGCCCCGAGCAAGTACTACAAGGACCTCGAAAAAAACTGGTTCCGCTTCGGTATTGTGGTACGTGCACCCCCTCACACGCATCATGCCACATCATCACGAGAATATCATAACTAACCAGAACTCAAGGCCACAATCCTCATGTCCCTCCTCATTCCCTTCTCCTCGGCTACCCTCCGCAAGCGCTACTACGAGGTCTTCCTAATAATCCACATCCTCTCCGCTATAGTCATCGTCTGCGCCTTATTCATGTGTGTCTACTCTTTCCTCCAACCCCTCCCCCCACCCCTCCGAACACCCACTAACAACATCTAACCCTACAGCCACATTTCCAAGTTTGGCACAGAATACACCCCGCACCTCTGGCCGGTAGTCGCAATCTGGTCCTTCGACCGCCTCGCCCGCCTCCTCCGACTAGTCGTTACGAACATCCACGTGCGAAGCCGTAGAGTGTCTCGCACGGCAAGAAGCACCGTCAGCTACAGTGACAAGAGCGACGTTCTCCGCATTGAGATCCAACCCGCCGCGGTCCCGCAGACTCCACGGGCGGGCGACGTGTATTACCTGTACCAGCCGCGAAGTTGGCGCGGGTGGGAGAACCATCCATTTACCCTGGCTTCGTGGGCATATGCCCGGGATGGCGTGAAAACACCGGCTATGGAGGGGTCCGTGTCCATGCCTATGGCGGGTGAGAAGGGGGAGAAGGGGCCACAGGTGAAGACGTTTCCGGCTCCGGCTCCGGCCCAGCTTGTGGCGACAGGCGGTCAGATTCAAGTCCAACCCTACCAAGACGAGGTTGTCTCGACATCGGCATTATCACCGCCGACATTGACCTTCTACGTCCGCCCCTATGAGGGCTGGACGAAGCGGTTGAAGGAGCAATGCCTGCGGTCGGGGTATACCTGTCACCCGACCCTCCTTGTCGAGGGGCCGTACGGACACCGGGTCTCGCTGGGCGAATTCGAGCACGTCGTCATGATCACGGGCGGGACGGGGATCAGTGTTGCGACGGCGTATCTGCAGGATCTACTCGGCGGATCTCGAGGAGACGGGGAGGGCGTGGATGGCTACGGTCGAAGCCAGCAGATCGATCTGCATTGGACAGCACGGGAGGCAGCGTTGTTTGGCGAGCTGTGTCAAAGGGAGCTTGCTGCGCCCGAGGGAAATTCGATGGTGCAGATGCGGTTCTATTGTTCGAGGGAACAGGGACTTGAGGGTTTGGATCGGGAGGCCCTGGGCGGGCGGGTCGTTGAGAAGGGGAGGGCTCCGACTCGAGACATTATTTCCAAGGCGACTGCAGAGGCAAGAGTCAGCTATGCTAGAGTGGCTGTCCTTGTTTGTGGGCCTGCAGGGATGGTGGACGAGGCGAGGAAGGCCGTTTGTGAAGCGAGGAAAGAGTATACTGGAGTGGAGTATTTTGAGGAGGTCTATGGGTGGTAGGGGCCGTTTACGCAATGTGAAATGAAAAGAACAAAGTGAAGATCTGGACTGAACTAGGTACCTGAAGCTGGCCAGCGAAGTAGAGCCCTGTTCAAAGTATATACGGAGTGATTTAGTGTGGTTAGTAGACCATGTTCGGATTACCAGCTCATCATAGATATTGCTGATGCTCTCTTTCAACTGACTGACTTTGCTTGCGTTCAGCGGCAGCGTGCTCGTCTGCTGGGAAATCTCCGTAAAAACCCCCTCCGTTACATGCTGATTACCCTGGTAGTACCCCTTGCACCCAGAATTCCAGTTGCAGCGTATATTGATGTACCCTTCTTGCTGGTAGGTGAGGTAGGCCATTGCCTCATTGCCCTCGTGGAGCGGGGGTTATGAGCTGCCCTGGTTCGGCGGTGACCTCACGGGATAGGTTGATGATGTTGAGGGCTCGGTCCCAGCTAGAATGAAATTTCTGTTAGTTTGGTGCTTGAGGAGACAAAGCAGATGGGGAGAGACCCGACTCGAATAGCTCTTTTTTGACCCACTCTATGTGCTCTTCTTGCAGTTTGGCCATTACGATGCTATTTTTGCCTATGCCCACGGGCCGGCGCGGCTTCAAGTCTGGACCATCTCGTCTCCATGGTGTTTGGAGGATGGAGATACTGTTTGGCGCGGTATTGCTCGCTGAGGCCATGGAGATGGGCATGGAGTACGAGATAGGGGAAGAAGAGGGCCAGAACACAGCAGAGGAGCAGCCCTGAGGGCGGCTCCACGCCGGTTTTCGTGCAGTCTTAAATTCTGTAAGGAGGTGGACTGATGATGGAGGCACCGTGAGAAGACTGTAGGAAAATAATAGCTGTAAGTTATCATGATGGATGGTGGCATACACAGTTTCCCTGCTCGTACTCACATCGGGGTTGCATGATTTATATCTACTCTCATTGGCTCTACCACCAAAGGATAGTCGGAAGCTTGGTACTTACCAAGCTCATCGACCCAGCAGCATATGTAAATTGAAGGCCCTACAGGGCTCCACCTGCGACGCTGTAGGCATTCGGCAGCAGAGTCGTGAGTTATAAATTCAACTTAAAAATTCGTGTAACGGATCTTTCGCCTTGTAAGACATAAAACACGCTGGTCTGTAAATTAGAGTACTAACTCTATCAGGCGCTATCTCAGCTAGGGATGGTGAAATTTCAATTCTGGAAACTCTTACAGTAATTCTGAAATTTCACTCCAAAACACCCTTACAATTTCAGAAAAGCACGTGAGTGGATACCAATACTAAGCTTTAATTGGCTTAAAGAATTAAAGGCTTGCCTATTATAGCTAGCAGAATCTATATCAAGACTAGCGTGATTTTACTCTTTACAATCCCCAATACTCTTACATGAAATTTCAGCCAAAAATCATTGAAATTCATGAAATTCAAATTACATCCCACCATCCCTAATCTCAGCATATTTTAGCCAGTTAAAGTTTTAAAATGGAATCTTAAATTACTTACGTAATGTAATAAAATCATCAGTCTTTTTTTCCAGTGAAATTTCAACATCCCCAGGTAGTGAAACCGGGTAAAAGGGAGAAAAGAAAAGAAGAATAGTCTCTTTCTACTGGTCAGGCCAGCCAAGCAGCGGAGCTTCCAGGTTTCTAGGTTTCCCTCGCTGGCCGTTTTAACTCCCTCCTGCCCGCCCCATCACCCCTTTTGGCCGGAATTTCGGCTACCCGAATCTCCTTCTTCTTGGCCTCTCCGCTTTACATGATTTGACCGGAAATGGCATCCCAGATAGTGCCTGAGCGGCCTGCGGTATGTAATATGTCGTCTACGATATGATTTGGGGCTAATCATGTGTGCTGCCGCCGTCCAGTGCGACCTCTGCCACAACAGAAAGGTTAGTCATCGGCCCATCCATCGACTGCCACAGAACGCTAAGGCAGGACAGGTGAAATGTGACCGCTACGACCCGTGCATGAACTGCGTTGATGCGCGCACAGAATGTCGTCGCACACGGCCCCGACGCAGTATGCGTCCTAGGGTTTCCCGGTAAGTCGGGGCGGTTCCTGCGCATCCTTCACTGCGCCTAATACGCCGTCCATCAGCATTGCAAGGCTGTCGGAGAGGCTCTCGTCGGTTGAGCAGTTGGTTCTCAATCCTCACCCCGGTGCTCCCGCTTCGCAGCCCGTCCTTGATCCGCGAGAGGAAGCAGAGCACATTGCTCGAAGCGGTCGAACCTCGCAAGCACCCAGCTCGGGGGGTTGGAGCGCGCGAGCCAGAGAGAGCGAGAGCACCGCTCACCCGGCAGCCACCGCAGAAGACACATCGATGCAGCCAGCGAACGAAGCCCGGCGCTTCATTCAGCAAGAGCTGCAGCGCAGCGACCATCTATCCTCGCTCCAGCGCACCGTGTTGGAAAATGCACTGTCTCTAGTTAACAGGCTCTCAACCGCGACATGTCATTCTAAAGTCTCGTCTGCAGGACACGCGCAGGCCTTAGAGGAACAAGATGAGACAACACAGGAGTTCTCAATAGAGACATACTACATGATGTCGAAGCGTTCGTGTTAACATGACCTTTTGTCTGGACCGCTCCTAACCTAGAGCAGATATGGTACATCAGACTTCGCCGGGGAAGCACATACACTGGCCCGACCACGTCTCGGTCAAGGGGCTGGAGCACATGAGCCTGTCCCTGGTTGAGGGAAAGCTGGATAGGCAGACCTCTTTGCACTACCGCGTCTGTGTATACGTCAAAGCTATCTTCTTCCTGGCGCGGATGCGACAGCCACAACTGACGCCACGGTTACGCTCGCATATGAAAATGAGCCATACAAAATACATGACGGCGGCATCCAGGGCGCTGGAGCAGATTAATTTGACTGAGAATCCCTCCATTTCTCTCATACAGGCTCTACTGTCCGGAGTAAGTGCTGCCCTACATGCATTCTTATTTTTTTTTTTTTTTTTTTCTCAAGAACTCGGACAACATCTGACCAAAGCAAAGGCACTCCTCCATCAGATGCAAGGAAATATCACGAAAGCGTGGACGATGACATCCTTCGCCGCGCGGCTGCTCGTTGCCCTGAACTACCACACCGTCAGTAACGACACGCCGATTCAGAGCCAGGAGGACGAAGACGCCCGCCGCTGTTTGTTCTCCTGCCACTACCTCGATAAGTCGCTTAGCATGCATCTTCTGCGGCCACCGTCGCTTCCACGGTTAAGATTCAGCCCCGCGTCGCTAAGAACTACCAATGGCCAGGCGGGGCTGGCGATGATTGCCAAAACAGTGTCTGAGTTTGCAGAAGTCCAGGAGGCTGCACTTGAGGTCTTTTTTGCCCAATCAATAGCAGACGACGATGGTGAGGAGAGAGCGGCCAGGCTGGACGGGGCAATTCAGCAGTTGGTTGCGCTGAAGCGGGTGCTTGACGAGGTAAGCAGCACAACTACCTGAGTGAATATATGAGGTATTGACCCTGTAGCGCCGTCTAAACGGCAGTCAGCAGGAATTGGAGCTAGAATGGGATGTCACCGAGTTCCGGTACCACGCGATTATGACCACACTCCTGCAGTACCGCTCCGAGTGGGAGCAGGACAAGCCTGGGAAGAAGGATAAGTGTTTGCAATCTGCGCGACAGGCTCTGGAAGCGCTGCGCCAACTGCAGAATACCATCAACGCAAGCAACGTATTCAACGGCAGCTATCCGATTTTTCTCTCCTGGTAAGCACGGCCCATTCTATTTTCTCCCAGGGACTAAACATTCACCTACAGGACCATCTTGTTTTACCCTATGACCCCCTTTTACATTATCTTCTGCAACGTGGTGGGCACATCCAACATGGAAGACTACCAGCTGCTGCGCGACACCACACAGGGACTGCAGCAGTTCATCGACTACAACCCGGCCATAGCCCGGTTATACCACCTCTTCACCACCTTCCTCAACTTGTGTAGTCCCCTGGTGAACCCCCCTGTAGTTCAAGAGGATGCAATGATGGTTTCTTCGCTGGAGCAGCCGATTTCCATGGATATGCGGCCCGAGATGGGCCCGTGGTGGAACAGCGAAGACATGTGGGAGTTGTTCAACACGCAGCCCTTGCTACAATGGGTGGATGCAGACAACCTTATTCTCTAGTCACGAACCCCCAGGACCACGGTTTAGCTGTGAGACCTCAGTCATCCCATGCCTTATCACATGACTGTCATGCACAGGTCACGTGATCTCCTAGACCCAAAGGATTACTGATGGCAATCTCTGAGAAAATAATTAGAATATAGGACTTGCCAGAAGCAAGATAGAAACTGATTAAAGAAAAGAAAAAAGAAATTAAAAGACTAATAAAAAATTAATAGAAAATTAGTAAGAGAAAAGATAGAACTTACTAAAAAAAAATTAATTTTTAAAAATATATAAAATAGCTTGATCTCCAGGGAGTAAATAATTTTTTTTAAATTTATTAATTCTTGTAAATATACAAGTTTTATTTAAATATAATTAATTTTTATAGTCTTTAGATTTTTATATAATTAATAAATCTTATCTATTTTTTTGTAATAAAAAGCTAGTATATAATTTTTTTAAAAAAAATCTTTTTTTAAGAAATTTATTAGTTATTATTTTCTTTTAGCATCTCAGCATTGCTTTGAAAATACTAATAAAAGAAATTAATTAACTGAAAATATAAGTAATCTTAAAATATTAAAAAAAATATTTTTTTAAATTCTAGAGTTTTCTACAGCAGGAAATTTAGATAATATATTTTAAATTTAAAATAATTCTGATTTTTGGATTATTCTAATACTAAATATTTAATTTTTATAATCTAGTAGGGAAATTGTCACAACGGGACAACAGTCAAATAATATCTGATAAGTTTCTAAATAGCATTATTTGATAGGGCTTTCTACAAGAAATACAGTAATATAACTTTTATTTCTTTATTTAATTATTCTGTGGAGTTATAAGCGTTTAAAGATAATAATATATATTTCTAAATTTAATTAGTATATATAACAGAAATTTAATTAGTATATATAACAGAAATTTAATTAGTATATATAACAGAAATTTAATCAGATTAATATATATAATAAAAATTTAAATTAGATTAATATACTTTTCCACAGGCACTAAGCCTAATTAAGTCTATTAAATATTATAAAAATAAATATTATAATAATAAGTATTACTTTAATAAATATTATATTTAAAAAAGATTACTCTAATAAGTATTACATAAATTAATATATTAATATATTTATAGATTCTAAGAATCCTAACCTACTGGAAAGATTAAATTAAATATATTTATTATTTAATAATATTTATTATACCTAAGTTATATATCTTTAAAAAATATTTTTTTATAATATTAATATATAATAATCTATATATATATTTACAGCTAGTTACAAGAAAGCAGAGATTATATTCTAGTCTATAAATTATAAAAATAATAATATTATAAAAATAAAATAAAAATTTAAAAAATAATATTGTATTAATATAATTAAACTTGTATAATCCTACTGACCTAGCAGATAATAAAAAAAAATATATATTATAATTAATAATCTTCTTACAGTTCTTATACTCAGATAATATTCTTTCTAAGAAAGATACAGGAATTAATATATAAATTAATATTATATTTATTTATAATATTATTTTTTTTAATATATTTAATCCTCTCGCCTCTTCTACAGCTAGTAAGATATAAAAAAAATTATAAAAGAAATAAAAGAAAAAAAATAATTTATTATTATATTTTAATCTCTATAATCCTGTTTAGACATGGCAAGGCTTGTCTGAAAAGCTCGGGATCGCCCGGCTCGGCTCGTGCCAAGACAACCCCGAGCCTGTTTATATAAGGCTCATGGGTAGTTTTTCTAATTTTAAAAGCTTATCTGTTAAATTTTAAGCTATCTGTTAAGTTAGACAAGTTTTCTATAATTAAATTTTATATTTGAAAAGAGGCTCAACAGACTTACTAAGATTATAATTATATATAATATTACTATAATTTCTATAGTATTTAAAATATATTTTCTGACTTAAATCAAAATATATTTTTAAAAGTAATATATAATATTATCTTCTTATTTAATTTATAATATATTCTCTAATTTAGGTTCAACTACTTTTTTCTGAATTAAAATATAAAAATATTTTTAACTTAAATTAGAAAAAATTCAGTACTATTCTTTATATTAAATTCTAAATTATTTATGGTAATTTATCTGATAATTATAATTATAAAATTAATATTAAGCTGGTATCCGTGGAACTTATAATAATATTAGAATTTTCTATAAAGAAAATATAAAAATTAAATCTAATCTATATTAAATAATCTAGATATCTTTATTATCACTATCACTATTACTATTATTACTAAAAATATTATTAATATCAGTATTATCATAAAACTCATCTATATTATTTATTTTATAATTAAGAGATTTAAAATACTTATCTTTTATAGCTAGTATCTTTATAAATATAATATTTATAAAAGGATTAGATGAAGTTGTATTATCTACAATATACTTAAATTTATTTTATAATTAGAATCTTTTTTTATATATTTAAAATATTAATATTTTAATAATATCTGGAAGACGATAACCGCAGTAATAATAATATATATTTTAAGAAGAATTAAAAAGTCATTTAACTTTAATTCTATTAATAAAAACTGTAAGAAAATCCTGTACTATATAATTAAAAATAAGAAATTAATTTTAATTTATTTTCTAATATTAAAGAATATTTTTAATCTAAATTAGTCTTTCCTGTAAATATTATTTAATTTTAAGAATAAAATCTTTAATTATTATAGATTTAGTATATATAAGGCATTTTAATTAATTAATCAGATTTATAAGATGGGATAAAGATAAGTTTTCTGAATATATTAATTTAAATTAATTCTAGTATTATAGCTTATATTTTAAATAAAGATCTTCTAAAATTTTTTTATAAACTAAATTATAATTACAGGTTAGATTCTGTTATTAAGTAATATTAAAAATCTATAATTTTAAATCTAGTATAAGAATTATTACAAGTATATATAAATAATCTTAATTATTATAAGTTTAACTGTAATAAAATCTCAGTTTTTCTAATATATATTTAAGATTTTTATAAAGCTGTTATTTTTATTAAATATATTTTCTTTATAAATATTATTAAGTATTCTCTAGATAGTTGAAAAGAGAATTATATATTTTAAATATTTTATAAATTATTAATTTTTTAATTTTAAATAAAGTAAGCATAAATACATGAAATAGATATAAAAATTTAAAAAATATACTAATTACTGCTATTTTTCTATTAATAACTATAGATAATTTATAATAGTTAACTTTTTTATAATATAACTATTAATAGCAAGTTTCAAGTATACGGCTTGCTATAATATAAGATATATTAAATTTTATTAAATTTAATAATCCTGATATAATAGAAGTCCAGTAGAATTTTTATATAATCTTTAAAAAATTATTTATTATATAAGACTTGCATTTATATATTTACAGAATTTATAAATCTATATATTATTAGTATAGGTATTAAAGGACTTTTTAACTTAAATTAAAATATATCTTTAAGATTATAATAAAAAGTTTATCTTAAAATTAAAAAAAAAGATTTTTTTCTTTATCTTATATAATTTTAATATTATCATTCTCTGCCTGAACAGAAAGATATAATAATAATTTTTTAAAAACTAGCTGTAATATATATGCAAGACAGGAAATATAGACTAAAAACTATAAATATTCTAATATAATTAGTTCTTAAATAAATTATAAAAAAGTATATTTTAAAACCTTTTTTTAATATATTTTTGAACTTGGGTTGTTATAGTAATATTATTATATATATTATTTATAATAATAATAATAATATAACCAGTAAGACTTTGCTATTCAAGAAGTCTAAGAACTGTATAAATCAGATTATTATCTGTATAAATTATATTTAAAGATTTAAAGTCTAGTAATATCTTATAATACTTCCAGACTAAATTAATAAAGTATACAGTAATTATAATAAATAAATTTTATTATAGACTTGTCTATCTATCTATTATAAGTAATATTTTTTTATAAGATAAAAGCTGGTTTAATTAAATTACTTCTAGTCTGTCTATTTTCTGAAAAAGATATTTATAAATTTATCAGTAATTTAGAAAATCCAGAGATCTTGAATCTATAACTATTGAAAGAAATTACTAAAACTATATATATTTAATAGTTATAAATAGTAATTATCCAATAAGAATAAACTTGAGAATAGACTTTTTTAAATTATTAAATATATATCTTGATTTTGAGATCTATATATATTAATAAATAGATAAGAAGATTTATTCATAGTTATATCTTCTATAAATTAAATTAATTTTATATATTAAAATTCTTGAAAGAACAAGATTTTAATTCAAGATAATAAGCTTATATTAAAGTAGAATCTTATTTATAAAAAGAATAATTAATAAATTAATAATAATAAATATACTATAAGACTATTTCTCCAAGAAGATCTTTAGTAACTTTATTAAAATAATTCTATATTAAAAATTTATTAATACCACGTTTTCCCCACCAGAAGTGTATATATTATAGAAGTTTTATAAATCTTATTAAATATTATTAATATAAAAAAGCTTCATGGTTATCAGTATTATATTATTAGAAATAAGAATTATATTTTGATTTAATTCTTCTTAGATAATATTGTCAAACCCTAGGATCGCTTCCCTGTTCCTGTTAGCTTAGCTTTCACTGGCATATGTACCATCGAACTGGATCAAGGTGGTATCAGACTAATAGTCTATCTAAAATACTAGTCTTGAATAAGAGAAAAAAAGTAAGATTAGATAATATTATACAGCTATTTATAAGTAAATACAGATAAGTATTATATTACTAAGCTTCTAAAGATAGATTACTTAAAAATAATATAGATTAAGCACGAAGAACAGAACTAACTAAATATATAAATAAGTATCTTTATATATTCTATTCTCTATATACTAAGTAGTATATCTTTTTATATACTATATATTATATACTATATACCTGTTTGTGTACTATCCTATATACCTATAGTTATATGATATGTGACTATTCCGGGTATTATAAGAGTAATTCAGAATTCTTTTTAATAAGAGTTTCTATTTACTTGAGCACTGTCTTTATCAGTATTTTCTATTTAATAAGTTTATCTTATTAATAGATTAATTAGCAGGAGTCTGTAACATTACTCTCTCTTTTTTAAGATTTCTTATTCTTAAGA